TGGGCAAGTGGGGAGAAAAGAGAGAGAGGCAAGACAACACCGACCTTTCTGGAGCCTCCAGAACTGAACGAGGAGGAGCGGACAAGAAGCACGTTGCGGGAGGAAGACGTAGAAGGAAAAGGAAAAAGACAGGCTTCCCTCTGGTAGGTCCCCAAACAGCCATCGTCCTCTGAAGGAGGGAGGTACTCGGATGTCCCAGCCCATGGGAGCAACACCCTCCCAGCCCCAGGCAGCCAGGACTCTCCCCTTGGCCTGTTTCATACTGGTGGGGGGTTTGGCAGCCAGAGAAGGGAAGCTGCCTTTTTACTGAGCTTAGGACCCTGCTGTTTCAGACAGAGCCACCCCACCAGACCCCTCCCGAAGGACAGCTCACCGTCCTGCCAGTCCCTCTAGCCCTCCAGGGGGCCACCCTTCATTGCCCCGCAGGCTCCGCGATGCTGCTGCGCAAACACAGGGCAGCATTCACGGGTTCCCTGCTGGAGCTGTGTCCTGGGGGCACGTGGAGGGGTGCAGAGGTGTCCCGAGAGTCCCCAAGTCCTGTGAAGTCACTGCCATTGCTGAAACTTGCTCCACATGAACTTTCCCTCCTCACTGGTCCTGAATTGGGAAGAATGAATATTCAAGTGACGGTGGCGGTGACCCACTTCCTAGCAGATGTCACAGCCCCAGGGCGCGGCGGCTGAGGCTGAAAGGACAGAGGGAGGCTGGCGGGGGAGGGGAACGTCCTTGGGAAGCCGCCTTTAATTCCAACGCTCCTTGAGTGCACAGGAGTCCGCCTCACTCTCGAGGAGCCGAGACAGCAGATCCATCAGGCAGGCGGGCAGGATGCGACACGGATCACTGCACAGACACCTTCTGGGGCAGCATCGCCCCACCCCTCAAACGTCAGCTCCAAGGGCTGAGGAACCGGTGCCACCTGCCCCCTCTAACCCGGGCCTGGCGGTGGGGCTGCCCTGCTGGCTGAGCAAGTCTGCGTCAGCAGGGTCACCAGGGCCAGAGGACCTGGCCGAGAGGCCAAAGAGCCGGGCTGCGTCTCTGCCTCAGCTCTGTGACCCTGGGGGAAGTCACAGCCTCCAAGTCTCAATTTTCTCTGCTGTAAAATGGGATGACGTCCCGGACCTTACTGCATGGCCCAGAGGACCAAATCAGAAACGAGAAGGACCAGTCACAGCGCGGCACACCCTGCCTGGTGCATCACTCCTTTCTCCATCCCCAAAAGGGTGCGTCCCCTCAAATGGTACTGTGTTAGGAAAAGCCAGTTGGGTTTACAAAGGGGACTGCACAGTTTTAGTGCTGCAAATGGACAGCAGCAAGTGTGGCCGAGGGAGACGGACCAAGGTGAAATCAGAGAACTTGCCTCCTGGCAGAGAAAGAATCCAGGGCTCTCGGGAAGGGCCCTCCTGCAGTACCAGTGTCAGCTTGAGCCCAGTTCTGAGACTATCCACTCCAGGAGGAGAGAGAGGCCAGCAGACAGAACTCCCCATGGCCCCCAACGCACACCCTGCTTCTCCAAGGGCACTTCCGGAGGGAGCTGGGGAGAAGCCCCCTGCCTGGCAGAGGGTGGCACTTGCAGGCTGCATCTCCCTCCCCGGTCACTCGTGCCCTGAGGTGCATCTCACGGCTCCTGCGTTCAAGGCTGAAGCCAGGGTGGCCTTGTCCGGTTCCGAGGCCCCGTGAGGGGCCCTGCTCAATATGGCCAGTTTGTGGCGGAGCCTCCAGCCAGGATGAGCTCCGTGCTGCCATCTGCACTCCCGGCTCTGCTCGGCCAGTGCCCGGCAGCACCTGTCCACCTGTAATAGGCGGATGCCATCCCCGTGAATGGCCAGGTACCTTCAGCACTTGGGGAGCCCCACTGCACCCCCAGGGCTTCCCTCTGACACTGCTGAGGAGAAGGCAGTGACTGGGCTCAGGCCTTGGGCACAGGAGGTGAACGACAGGCGGAAGCACCGTGGGGTGGGGAAGTGAAACAGGAACGCTGGCCGTGCCCTTGGCCCAGGGCTGCGGAGCACGTCCTGTTTCTCGGGCACTCGGGACAGGCCACGTCTGCACTGGGCTGACTCCCAAACAGTCTTATCGCTTCCCCAGTGGTCCCTGGCGCCTGCTCCCTGCACGGGAAGGAATGAAATGCTAAGTCCTGGCTCTGTTTCCTACCAGAGCCGGAGAAGCGCTGCAGGAACAATCCCAAGAAATCGCAGCCTGGAGGCAAGGTTACGGGTTTGAAAGAGTCGGGGCATCGAACGCTTTCCTGTTTGATCCTTCAGAGGAGCGGGAGGGGCCTTGGTGGGTCCTGGGAAGCCGAGGCCTGATGAAAGCGGCTCCTGATGTGAGTTCTCCTGAGTCCTCACGGGGGGCCCAGGTCACTGCGGGCCCCAGCTGCGGCCACGGGCTGGGGTGCCCTGGGGAGCACGTGTGCCTCACAGGGCCCCCACCTCACCGCACCCTGCCATGTGGCCACGGCAGGAAGGCGGGGGGCACTGACGCCTGTTAGCTGCCCTGCAATCGGAGGATGTGGGCGGAGGCGCAGGGTGCGGGAGGGAGGAGGAGTTTTCCGTGTGTTAAGGTCAAGGGCTTGGGGCAGCGACTGGGAGCTGCTGGTGGAGAAAGTTCCCTTCCTGTAAGCCCGCTTCTGACTGAGTCACCATCCCAGATATTCTCATTCTGCATGTGCGCCGCGCAGACTCTGAAAATTAAACCACAAAGCAGAAGCCTGTACCTTTATCCCCCAGAACACACTGTCCCGGAATAGCAATGACGGAGAGGTCACTAGGAGGCCCTGTCAAACACGCAGGCCCAGACGGGTGCACCGTCTGCCTAAGACAGTGAGGTGACTGGCTGGGGCTGGAAGGTGCCTTCGGTCCCATCACTGCCTTGCTCCACCTTTGGGTGAAGTCTGGCAGCAGCACAGTCAGAAACAGCTGGTGGAGAGAGGCAAAGGAGTCTCCAGGAGGGAAGGCCAGTCCTGAACATGAATGACGGGGGCCAGGGAAAGGACACCATCGTCCCCTGTGATCTGAAGAGGCCATCTGGGAAGATGCCGTCACCACGGGCAGTGAGAGCTCAGGACCCGGGAAGGAGACCAACACGTGCCAGCCCCTTCTCCACCCACTTTGCCCCTCCCACCTCACAGAAAGGGACGAAGAGCACCCAGAATTTAGGGTTAGGAGACACCATTCTGCAGAAGCCACAGACCCTGGGGCCACATGCAAAGTTGTCGAGTAACTTTGGAGACAAAGGCAAGGTCCCCCTGCCTTGAACTCCCAACCAGAAAGGAGCACGTAGGAACTGAAAACCTGCAGAGCAAACGAAAGGCCCTGGCAGCGGCCTGGGCGGTGCGGAGGGCGGGCAGCAGTAATCGGGAGAGAACAGGCTCTGAAGCCCTCCCCTTCCTGCTTCTGTAGCTTCTGCAGGCCTGGTGGCAATTAGCTTTATGAGCTATAAGTACAGTATCTGGGAGACGAAGGCAGTAATTAATGCCTGTCTGCTTTCCTGAAGGGTTCCTTCTGCTCGGTCAGAGTTATTGAGATGCAGGGAGTGCGGCTTCCATCATGTGGAAGGTTTACAGGAGTAAGTGAAGGAATAATTTAATAAGACAGTAATAATGGATCTAAATAATTTACCGGGCCAATGGCAGCAGCCGATATTCCCAGTGTTCCCTTTGAGGGGGACGTGCCAGGCAGCGTCCGCACAGACTCCAGGGCCTCCCCAGAAAAGACCCCCTTGAGGCGCTCTGCACCGTCCCTCTGCCCTGGACATGCTCTGCGTTAGGGAGAGCCTCTCGGGCCCCCTCCAGCTGGGCTGCTACACTTTCGGGCACTTCTGCTAATTGGATCAGTCCCGGTCTGCTGGGATGCTAAGAGGCTAACAGGCCTGGCTCTGCTGGCTGCCCTGCCGAGTCACTCTGACCACCCTCAAGGTGGGGAAGTGGGGAAGGGGCCAGGAAATGAATTCATGACCAAATTAGCATCGGGCCTGTGGAGGGGGGAGCTCAGATGCAATTCTACTAAAAGACCGATCCCTCGCTAGAGCTGAACCTGCGAGAGGAGAAACACAGATCACCAACTGCTCCAGAAAGGCAGAGAGGAAAACCTCGCGCGTGGTCTGGGCCACAGTGCTCATCCCTTCCGCAGGTTGGCGGGGCGGGGCTGGGAGGCAAACAACAGCTCAGCAGCCCTGGGGGCGACACATTCAGACCCAAATGACACGGCTGGCAGGGCCTTCGCGAACCTTTGCCAGGATGGGCATAATTAAGTTAAGAGGCCAACTCCCAGAACCACTCAGCTCTCTCCAGGCCCCGCCTCCCACCTCCAAATCAGCTAAGTGGCCGCGTGTCACACTGTGGGTCACCTAGCACACCTAAATTTGTGTCAGGGCTGAGGAGGACCAAGAGGAAGCAGAATATTAATAGATCCTGCAAAAGGGAAAGAGAAACATTTCTGAGTCCTGCCCACAAAGCAGGCAGAGATAAATAACTGTCTGGTTTTGTATCTTATTACTTCTTCTTCCCTCCGCCCCCGCCCAGGGCACAAAGCAATCAAGCAGCAGCCTGGAGATTCATCACTTCCCCGTGTCGGCGGGCAGCAGGGAGACAGGCAGAGAGCTGGGCTCACCCTTCCCTCTCTGGAGAGCCGGTCTCCAGTCGGGGGCGGCCGGAGGGCTCGGTCCTGCCTGCCGGCCAGGAAGCCCGGTGTCCATCTGTGTGCTCCTGGGCTGGCCAGGAGTGAGGTCAAAGCATGGACCATCTCCAGAAAGTCAGCCCTGGCACTCTTACAGGGTTCTGCTAAGAGTACCCCTCAAGTCCCGAGCTAGGTTTACAGGTGCTCGCTGCCCTGGAGGTGGCAATGATCTGAATGCCAACTCCAAACCACACTGACGGAGCCCTGGTCACCAGGACACTCTGGGACTAGAGTCTTAGTGACACGATCTGTTTTCTGCCCAGGACCAAGGCCCCGGGAATCAGCCAGCGAGTGGAGCCACGCGGACCTCTCTGGCCGGCCACTCACCAAGTAGATGCGGTAGGCGTCCACGCGGCGCAGCGGCCCCCAGCACAGGTCCGTGTCGTTGTACCTGGTGTCGGCCTCCACGCCGCAGGAGTCATTGCCGGTGGTGCTGCTGATAAAGAGAACAGTGTTCAGAGGGGCCCTCCCCGCTTGGCTGCAAGCACACGGAACGTAATGCTGTTAATTAGTAGCCGCCACTGAATCCCCACTCCCCCTACAGCTGCTTTCGGTCCAACACTCTGACTCCCACAAACCACCTTCCAGGGCATCAGTTGTTCCTGCCGCAGCGGCAGGAGCTCCTGGGTCCCCGCTACCTTCCCAGCCGTGCAGGGCGGAGGGCAGCGGCGCAGGGCCGGGGGCAGCGGCGCAGGGCCGGGGGCAGTGGTGCAGGGCAGGGGGCAGCGGCGCAGGGTGAAGGGCAGCGGCGGGCAGCGTGTCTGTGAAGGACAGAAGGCGCCGCTGCCTGTGGCCGTGCTGGACTGATTTACTTGGTGCTGTTTCTACCCCGAAATCCCTGCCCCGACCGCCCAGGGAAGCCCAAGCGGCTGCACGAGCGGGGGCGAGGGGACACTCACCAGGACACCTGCATGAGGGAGAAGGGCACGGCGGCAGCATAGATGGCCAGGTCCCCGTACAGGTAAATGATGATACAGAAATAGAACAGGTTGACCCCCACTGGAAGGAACAAAGTCATCCGTCAGGGGCCACCGGGAGACGGCAGCATTCTTTCTTGAGGACTCAATCTCTACCCCTTCAATGGCGTTTGCTTCCCCAGGCTGCTTGTTTTCTCTAAAAGGGATGAGAAAACGACCCGGAGGCCTAGTGCCTGTTCTGGCCACACTGCAATGCTGGCGGGGACACTCTACTCTCGACTTTCACCCGAGGGGCTAAGTGAGGCCTGGAGGGTTAGAGCTTCCCAATCCAGACAGGTGCGGGGTGTGAGGTGTGACTGGCTGAGGAGGAGCCAGAGGTGCCTTCGGCCAGATGGGGTGCCTGGGGGCGGGGGAGGTGAGGAAGGAGGGAGAGAAGAGATGCCCTGAGTCAGGAGCCTGGGTCAGGCCCCCTTCACTGCTAAATGCAGGTTCTAAGACAAAAGACTACTACTGAGGAATGAAGAAGCAAAGAGAAGGCAACAGGAGAAGGCCCAGCTTCTGAAGCTAAAATTGAGGGTAAAAGCCCTTGATTTCCAAAGACCAACAGCCCAGCCCCAGAGGGAGAGGGGGAGGGGCGGCCTGGAGTGCTAGGAGGGAGCTGCAGACCCTGTGCCCCAGGTGGGCTCACCTCCCTTCTTACGGAACATTTGCAAGGGAGATGCTGGCTTGGACAGGGGCACAGGGAAGCTCTCTGCAGAGGCAAACCCTGGTCCCCTCTCCTGCCAGCAGGGGCCTGACCTGGGAGCTGGGATTCCACTGGCCTCACTTCCCGACCCACCCGGACCACCCCCGGTCCTGTCCAGCGAGGACTGCACTGTGCTAAATGCCCGACTGCCTCCAGCTACAAAGACTCTGAAGAAGTGTCTGGGCCCTGCGGCTCAGGTCACAGCCCGGCAGCAGCCTCAGACTCCCATTCAGACTGGCTGCTCATCTTGATGTTCCTGGTCTGAGGCTGCTGGCTCCGCTGGCAAGAGAAAGAAAAATGAAGTGACAGGTCCCTTCCAGCACCGGTGGCTCAGTCAGGCTCCAGGGTCTCCAGGGGAATGCTGGGGCCATGTTCCTCCTGGGCTATTTGAGGTTAGCTCTGCTCCTAGGAGTCTGGGGGGGAAAGGCCAGGAAAAAACAGTTCTTGAAAGAACCCAGGAGGGCTGCAGACAGCCTCGCTGTCCAAGCTCAAGGGCCCCTGGGGTCTGCCTGCCACTCACACCCGGGCTCCAAGTACAGCCTGGGCCCCAGCCTGTCTTTCTGCTGACACCAACGCTCTCTGCAGGGAGGCACGTCCCTCCCCACTCCCAACCTTCCCCCCACCTGCCCACGGAATCCAGGGTCAGCTCTGTTTATAAACTGCCACTGGCCCTCCTGGATCAATAAATTTCATTACTAGACACAAAATGGGAAGATCAATGAATTTCCTGAGAGGACAGCGATGGCTGGGCCTGGCATTTCCAATGACAAGGAACGAGTCTGGACTCTGAGGGGTTTTTGTGGAGAGTGGCAGCCTCCTGGGGGGGGGAGGGGACAACCCGGAACAGAGCAGAGCAGTGCTGTTCTCCTGGGGGCAGCTTGGTCCCGCAACCCCTCCTGCGGACAGCCGACCACGTCTAGGGACAGTTCTGGTTGTGATCACTGGGGGGTGCTGCTGGCGACTAGTGTGTGGAGGGTGAAACTGCTGCTCAGCATCCAACAGTGCACAGGACAGGCCCTTCCACAAAGAACAATCCACGGACGGCAGCAGCGCTGAGTGGGAGGAACCGTGGACGGAAAGAAGGCCCCCTCGAGGGCCGCCGCTCTCACGCCAATGTGCGCACCGTCCACAGAGGTGAACGAGGAGTCTGGTGCACGGGGGCCTGAGGACAAGGCCAAACCACAAGTCCCTCGACGTCTCAGAGACCAGGGCAGACTACGAAACGTGAAAATTAGAAACGAGGTTTAAATGGTATATGTCTGGCCCTGGCCCTTTGGCTTAGCGTTAGAGCGTCGGCACAAGGACCCATGAGTTGCGGGTTCAATTCTGGTCACGGGCATGTACCTCGGTTGCGGTTTATCCCAGGTCCTGGCCGGGGTCGTGCGAGAGGCAGCCAGTGTCCCTCTTGAGTCGATGTTTCTCTCTCTCTTCCTCCCTCCTACTCTACCCGAAGATAAATAGAAAAATATCCTCTGGCGAGGATTGAAAAAATAATAATCCTATGAAGCCTAAAACACCAATCAGAAATTATATATGTACCCCTATGTTCACAGCAGCACTATTTACAATTGCTAAGATCTGGAAACAGCCCAAGTGTCCATCAATAGATGAGTGGATAAAAGAGCTGTGGTACATATATACAATGGGATATTATGCAGCTGTAAGAAAGATCTCTTATCCTTTGAGACGACATGGAGGGACCTGGAGAGCATTATGCTAAGTGAAATAAGCCAGTCAGAGAAAGACAAATACCACATGATCTCACTTATTTGTGGAACATAATGAACAAAATAAGCTGATGAACAAAATAGACCCAGAGACATAGAAAGGAGTATGGTTCAGACTGACAGACCTCAGAGGAGGGGGGGTGGGGCAGAGGGATGGGATAAACCGAAGAACTTACATGCATGTATGTGTAACCGATGGACACAGGAAACAATACTCTGTGTGTGTGTGGGGGGGGGGGGGCGCGGAATCGGGAGGAAGGTGTGTGTGGGGGGGGACAACCATCTGTAACAAAAATAGATTAATAAAAATTGCAAAAAAATAAAAATAAATAAAAGGTATATGTCTGCCCTCCAATGTGCATTTTATTTCAAACGCTGCTTTTGGAAGGAGACCACGTATGGCTTCTGGGGAGAAAGGTTTACGCTCTCTTATCTTCATCTAATGAGACAGGGAGAGAGAAATGGAATAACCCAGACACTGAAGCGGGCAGACACAAGCAATCTGGTTTTCATGAATTCTGGAACCTTCTATGAGGCTGCTACAGGGGGATGGAAGAAGCTCGGGCAACCTCTGGCTGATGATGAGTCTTTTGGACGAGATGGTCAAATCACACCACCAGTGATAAACAGAAGCTTAAAGTCCCAGAAAGCAGCCAAGAAGCTTCCAGTTTCCACAATCCCCACTCCCACCCCAGCTCTAAGTTAGTACAACCACATTCAGAACAAAAAAGAACCGCTGGAGATGCCCCCCTCTGTGAACAGGGGCTCCGACAAAGGGGCAGAAAACCTCCCAGGGTAACTGTGAAGGCAAGGCTTTAAGATATGTCTGACTCTCTGAAGGAAAAATAGGTCTGGGCATTAAAAACTAAACTCTTAAGGAGCTCATATTCCAAAAGAACAAGATTTGCCATGGAAGCATGAGATGTTTCGGTGAAACACCCAGCAACCCAGCACCGGAGCTGGGTTGGAACCTTTCAGCTTGTAGCCAAGTCCCATAAGGAGCAGGCAGTGGGGAGAGGTCATAACTAGACACTCAGACGCCAGACAGCGCCCGGTGCGTGGGCTCCTAGCGCCCTCTGCTGGCCACTAGGAAGAGACAGCCGGACAGAAACAGGCATCATGGCCTGTGCTGGCTACAAGGCAGCTGCTCTGTTGTCCTACACAGAACAGTCCAGAAGAAAAGGGAGACAAGTCAGAAGCATCAAGCAAGAGGCATAAAACAACCGGCTGGCCTCCATGGGTTCCATTCCCGGAAAGCTCTTTGGACTCCCGACCTCTACGTTCAGTAGGAGAGAAGTAGCCACTTCTCTGTTCTAGGCAAGCTGGCTCCTCGGATGCCCAGGGAGCAGGTCAGCAATCGCTCCTCCCGTCGCCTGCCCCTCCCAGTCACCAAGGTGCCCGGGGCGGCAGGGAGTACTGGTCTCCCCGTGCCCCCGCCCCACCTCAGGAAGAACGTATACCTTTATTGAAGAACATGGAGGCCATCTGTCCCAGTTCCACCCGGTCTGTGATTTCAAAAAGGTTCGGAGACCCACGTCTCTCTGTGGAGTCAAAGGACAAGGAAGAGGAGGAGGTCGGTTTACCTGGCTTCTAGCGGGGACTGCCGAGCTCCCTGAATTCTCCAGAATAATGAACTCCCCAAGAGTTTCAAACTCCTGAGAAAACTTTTCCTAATGCTTCCTGTTCGAAACATCTAAGAAGTTTCTAGAAAGGGACTGCAGGGACGCTGGCTGTGGGGCGAGAAGGGAAGACAGGATGCTCCGCCCTGGCTCTGCGGAGCGGGGATGGGACTGTCAGGTATGTGTGTGCGTGTGTGTGAGAGTGTGTGAGTGTGTGAGAGTGTGTGAGAGTGTGTGTTAGTGACTGTGTGTGTGAGTGTGTGAGAGTGTGTGTGAGTGTGTGTTAGAGTGACTGTGTGAGTGTGTGTGTTAGTGACTGTGTGTGAGTGAGTGTGAGAGTGTGTGTGAGTGTGTGTTAGAGGACTGTGTGTGTGTGCTAGTGTGAGTGTGTGTGAGAGTGTGTGAGTGTGTGTGAGAGAGTGTGAGTGTGTGTGTTAGAGTGTGTGAGTGTGTGTTAGAGTGACTGTGTGTGAGAGAGTGTGAGTGTGTGTGTTAGAGTGACTGTGAGTGAGTGTGAGAGTGTGTGAGAGTGAGTGTGTGCGTGAGTGTGTGTTAGAGTGGCTGTGTGAGTGTGTGAGAGTGTGTGTTTGTGTTAGAGTGACTGTGAGTGTGTGAGAGTGAGTGTGTGTGAGAGTGTGTGAGAGTGTGTGTGAGTGTGTGTGAGTGAGTGTGTTAGAGTGACTGTGTGAGTGAGAGTGTGAGAGTGTGTGAGAGTGAGTGTGTGTGTGTGTTAGAGTGACTGTGTGAGTGTGAGAGTGTGTGAGTGTGAGAGTGTGTGTGTGTTAGAGTGACTGTGTGAGTGTGTGTGTGTTAGACTGTGTGTGTGTGTGAGAGAGAGTGAGTGTGAGAGTGTGTGCATGAGTGAGTGTGAGAGTGTGTGTGTGAGTGTGTGAGAGTGAGTGTGTGTTAGAGTGACTGTGTGTGTGTGTGTGAGTGTGTGTTAGAGTGAGTGTGTGTTAGAGTGACTGTGTGTGTGAGTGAGTGTGTGTTAGAGTGACTGTGTGTGTGTGTGGGACAGGAGGAACGAGAGACCTGAGACCCTATAGTTACTCAAGCTTCCAGTGCGCACTGGGCACTGAACCAGGTGTTCAATTATTTCCATCACGGCAGGAGAGGCGGGAAGCTGGGTGCCGAGGTTAAGTGACTTGCCCAAGCTGCAAGCGTTAGTAGTGCTGAGCCGGCAGGGGCGAAGCCTGGGCCGGGTTCCCTGGCTCTTACTCTACCACCTGCAGGGGGAGGTGCCTCCGCAGACACTCCCCGCCTTCTCCACAAAGAAGGGACCCTGCGGGTCAGGCCGCAGGGAAGGGCAGCAGTTAGGAATCCCAGGACTTACGCACAGACAGGATGGGCCGTTTCTCTGCCCGCTCATAGTTGTCCTGGAGGAGACTGTCACTGTCAGAGGCTGTGGAGGAGCTGTCATCATCCTCCTCCTAGGAGGGGTGGGGCGGGGAGGAGGGGAATAAGCAAGGAAAACGGAGTTCGTCACTACAGAAAACCCCGTGACCAGGGAGAGAATCGGTTTCCTTCGTTCTTTCTTTCTAGAAGGTATCTGATCAGGACGCTCTCAACACTTCAACACTGTCACACTGGAAGGCCCTCCATGCTGTCACACTGTGACACTCGGAGTCAGGCCCAAAGCAGCAGCACAGTCCTGGGTCCAAAGTCCAGGAGGACTGAGCTCGTGCAAGGCGGGGGTAGGAGGGACCTTGATGCAAATGTAAGCGCAGAGGCCGCATGCGTTCTGTGAGCTTAGGAGGCTGTTGCGCTTCTGCTCTGGGACACGGGCCCTGCTCTGGGACAGGGCCCCTAGTAGCGCTGTGGACACGGGCCCTCCACGCATTGGAAGGGAAAGAACTGGGCGCCAAGGACCAGCTCGGTGGTACACAAGTGGACACAGGCACTGCCCGGAGACAAGGGCAACACACGCACCTGGTGGTTCTCCATCCTCTTCCAACGGAGCTGAGCGTTGGCGGCTGCCATGGCCTCCATCACGAAGGTAGTCGTCACAAAGCTGCAGGGGAGGCCACGCGTGAATTGCCAAAGGCGGGCAGGAGGGTTGGGAGGTACGAAGAGAAGGAAAAGCCATTTCAAGACCCGACTGGCTCAACAAACCGGAAGCCTTGTCCCTCCTGGGAGCTGCTTCCTGGGGACTCTCACGACGGGTGTGGTAGGAAGGGTGTGCGCATGCGACGCCTCCCACGCCTGCAGGCCGCGATGTCCCGTCTCCATTCAGAAGGTATTTTGGATGCATGGGAAAGCCCAACATGGGGCCATGCAGTACCCCGCACCAAAAAGGGGCCTTCTGGGGGCAGAGGTGGGAGGCAGACCCCACCTGGCGCTCTAAGTCAGGGAGAGGAGGCCGATTCACAAGGGCCGCCAAGGTCCCGGGAAGGGCAGCAGGCGGCGTTCACCTCTCGGTGCGGGACACAGACAGGCGGGCGAGTCCCAGCGCCACACACTAATGGACGGAGCACAGGCGCGGATCATTGGAAAGGAACCCTTGGCTCCAGAACCCTCTTTGGGGGTGGCATTTTCACTTTCCTGACCGCCTCGCTAATATTAACGTCAGCTTGCATTTTTATGGCCTGAATCAACGGGGGTTGGGAGGCGGCAGCAGACATCTGCTGAGAAGTCAGACACAGTGACAGATCGCCTCCTTTTCCTCGTAAAGAAACCGGAGAGCGAGCCGCCGGCTGGGCCGCCGCCTGCCACGGACCTCAGGGGGGCTCTGTCCCTGTGGCTGCAACTCCGGACAGGACTTCACCGCCCCTTCCTTGAGGCCAGCGGGGCGCTGCTGAGGACTTGACCCCAGCTCTCTACGTGCTGCCCCCTGCCCCAGGCAGACTGCTCGGCCCGGCCCGGCCCGCAGCGAGGAGACAGGTGTGACAGGAGTTGGAGCCGTGCCCACTCCGCGGCAGGGGAGGCAGCAGCTCTGACACTCCTGGGCCCGTCTCCCCAGCACCTCCTTGGACGGTTTCTCATTATCCTGCCTAAGTGACCATTTTAAGGGCTTTAGATTTTCCCCTTCTTTTTGGAAGTAAAACTAAAATCAATCTTAATTAAGGCATAAAGAGGCTTCTCATGGTTGCACAAAGCCAACTCATTGATCATGTTCAAATATAAATGGGGCGAGCAAGGCGGGGACACGGCGGCCCCTACCTGGGGCCCCCAGTAATCACTCCACATTCGGATGGCTGCTGGTGCTGAAGGTCCTTTAGAGGGGACAGCAGAGTCGCACAAGGACAAGGACGTCTAGGGCTCTTGGCTGCCAAGGCTCACAGTACGTAATTATGAGGCAACAGTACCCCAAGGCTGGCCCCCAAACCATCTTAAAGAAAATGCGTGAGCAAACTGAGAAACACGGGCATTTTCCTACCCCCCCCCCCCAGCCTCTTCAGGGGCTCAGTCTGCTTCAGCTGCTAAGCTGCGTCCTTCTCCCACTCCCCTCTCTCCCATCCGCTACGTGCTGCCTCCGCGACCCGAGCCCCCACTGAAACTGCCATCACCCACCCTCCCCATGCCCTCTCCCCGCTACCCTCTGCGGGGTTTTTCCACTATTGTGACACCGCTAACTTACTCTGCGGTTTACTTATCCGTCATCTTACTGTTTCCTGTCTGTCTCCAGAGAAAGGAGCGTCCAGGGCAGAGCTGTGCTGTTCAGTGGGCACCCCGGCTTCTAGGGACAGCGCCTGGGCTGTTTCCAGGGTGCCTCCCACCTCTGTTTTGCAGCCTGTGGATTCCTACCTGGTTGAGGGGACTGGACATGCTTAGTCCCAAACCTGCCTGGGGCAGGGGCTCACCGACTCAGACCTGCCTGAGCCCGAGAAGGGCGTCGGGGAACCCCGTCCCCGCTGCAGGAGCTGGGCCCTGGAAGGCTTGGCCGGGTACAGAGCAGTGGGAGCAACACTCATCACGTGTGCGCCACGCGTTCATCCTTTACTCTGTGAACCGCCTCCGGCAAACTCTAGATTCCAGACTGATCTCCCCGTCGCCTTCAGCAGCTGTCAGGTTCTTTTTCTGGGGCTAGCTGGTATTTTCTCAAAAAGGTGCACAAGGGGGAGGTGCAACCGCTGGGGAAGAAACACGGGGACACCACGTGACACGTTCCAAAGCCGAGCTGCGCCTCACTGTCCAGCTGGTCAGGGCTACGCAACGGCTCCATCAGCACGGGACACTGGAGTCTGGGGTCTCCTTTCCTCTCTCCGGGCCACCTCGTTGAGGACTCGCCGCTGACATCTTCCTGCCCCCGAAGACGCTTCCTCGCCTTCGCCCCAGCCCCCTGCCCCGCGCGACAGCCTCTTACCTCATGAAGCCCAGGAACACCAGCAGGACCAGGCTGACAAGCCACCCGGCACTGGCGAAGGCCTTGGGCATGGTGAGCGCGCCGGTGCCCACGATGAGGTTGAACATGTACACCAGTCCGACCTGGAACCGACAGAAGCGACACTCAAGCCCAGAACGAATCGGCCTCTCCCCACGAAGGCTCCCGAGGGTGACGCCGGGCGAGAGCGAAGCCATGGTGGCCGGGAGGCCAGCCTTTGGACAGGGAAGGAGGCGGCAGCCCCCCAGGTTCTCAGGAGGCCTGCTCTGCAACCGGACGTTGGGGACCAAGTGTCAACACTTGGATGACTGAAGTCCCACATCCCATCAATCTTCTCAAATGTCTCCGATGATCAGTTTTGTCCTCCATTTGTGCCGTCATTATCCCTACCTTTCATCATTTTACATTATTCAAAGCTGCGTCACAGATGTTAGGTGTCTGCGCAACCAGACCGTGGGCTTCCTGAGGACACCCCGTCACACGGGGTCTTCCGTTTCTCCTAGCTCGCAGGCACGTGACCCAATCCTCCTCCTCCTCCTCCTCCATTCTTGCCATCGTTCTTTGGGATTTTTTTCCCCCCTTTTCCCTGTCCTTTTTAAAAAATGTTTTTGTTGATTTTAGAGAGGAAGGGAAAGGGAGAGAGAGAAACGTCAATCGGCTGCCTCCTGCATGCCCCCTACTAGGGATCAAGCCCGCAACCTGGACATGTGCCCCGACCTGGAACTGAACCAGTGGCCTCTTGGTCCATGGAGCGACACTCACCCCCCTGAGCCACACGGGCCTGATTTCAGGTTTTAAACTTAACTCTAATTCACGCCCAGTCTACTCCAGCTCAGTTCTTTACAATTATTCCCTTTTCAAGATCTCAGCCTGGCGGTGGGGAGGGAAGGGGGCCTAATACATGGTGTGGGAAGATCTGACTCTGGGTGGGGACACCGCGCAATATGCAGATCCTGTGTCATAGAGTTGTACACTTGAAACCTGTATAATCCTACTGACCAATGTCATCCCCATAAATTTATTTAAAAAAAATTCTCAGCCACGAAATTCCTTTCTCTGCCCCAAATCCCCTGCCTTCCACAACTTTCTCCACCCCCTGAACCTCCTCTGTCCCCATCGCGACCTCCTATTCCCTCAACCCTCCCCCCCTCCCCAGGCACCACCTCCACTTGGCCTCACTCACATTCTGCAGCATCCTTTCTAAGGGGCTGGTTCCCCAAAGCTTCTCTCCCCCTTCCCTGCTCTGACTTTCCTGATGCCCAGCCTCGGAAGGGACCCAGCTTCCTCGACTCCCGCGTATGAAGCTGCTAAAGGTCCCCAGATTCATAAATAAATTAGACTGGGGCCTGGCCGGTGTGGCTCAGTTGGTTGAGGGTCATCCCATGTACCAAGAGGTAACCAGTTTGATTCCTGGTTGGGGCACATGCCCAGGTTGTGGGCTTGATCCCCAGTTGGGGGTGTGCAGGAGGCAGCCGATGGCTGTTTCTCTCTCCCTCTCCCTTACTCTCTCTGAAACCAATAAAAACATATTTAAAAAAACAAAATAAAAATTATGACTGGGCCCACAAGAAACGAGGGTTCCTTCAGCTCGCCACCTTCACAGAATGGGATTTCCTGTATTCCTCACCACGGATGTCCTAGCATTTCCCACACAACTGCTCCACACCTCAATCTCCAAGCCCCCAGACCCATGACCCCCACCTCTCTCAGATGACGGCTCCTTTGTTGTGGAGGTGACAGGCCACCTGACCTGAGCTCCCCACACCTCCTCATCCCTTCCCAGCTCAAAAAGCAGTGTCTGCGCCCTCCCTGCCCTCCTCCCTGTCTTTGGGGAACACGAGCCCCTTCTCCTTGCTGAGGTTTTCCCCTTCTCTCTGGAATCTCCCCTCCTACCAGCGCTTCCCCTCTGCCTACCAATGTTCTCGGCACCTTTAAAACATCACCCTCTCCCTGTCCCTTAATCAAACTCAAGTTCCAAGTTCCTATGCTTCTTGGATTCCGGCCCCAGAACCCTCTGGAACCTGCATTCTTAGAAATCACCAGTGACTTCCATTTGCCAAATCCAATGGCTTTCTTAGTCTTTTATTCTTTCTTACGTTCCTGATATTAATGGTCTCTTTTCCTTTTTACGTATCTTTTCCCCAGCAACTTCGTGCATTCCTATAGCTTCAACCCTTTGTCTCTCGTGGCAGGACACAGGAAGACCACTTCTCGTCACGTCAGCCTTTCTGTAGACGTCGACTCCGACTGCCTGGGGGTCACCTCCACCCGAACATCCCACCGGTGGCCCAGGCCTCCTTCCTTCCCCTCCACATCACAGAGCCAGTGGCCTTATTTCTGAAGAGTCTTTTGAGGACACCTCTGGCTCCTACTGTCACTTACAATTCAAATGAATGGTCTCTGGCCTGGACTGACAGTAGGTTCCTAACGGGCCCTCCAATGGCCGACTCACAGTTTGCATGACCACTTGTTTCTGATCATTTAAAACAACAGCAAACACTTCGCCTCTGGGAACACCTGCCCGTCTCTCATTTTTACTTCCCCGTTCTTAGAAAGATGCACTTTTCTATATTTAAATGTTTTAGGAGGTACCCACGTGCTAAATTTCTACATCAGAAACACACAAATTGTAATTCGAAAGAACACTGCACCCCTATGTCCATTGCAGCATTATTTACAATAGCCAAGCTATGGAAGCAACCCAAATGCCCATCAGTAGACGAGTGGATAAAAAGGCTGTGGTACATATATACAATGGAATGTTACTTGGCCATAAAAAAGAACGATAGTTTACCATTTGTGACAGCATAAATGGACCTAGATGGTGTTATATATGCTAAATGAAACAAGTCAGTCAGAGAAAGGCAAATACCATATAATTTCACTTATACATGAAATCTAAAGCACAATATAAACAAACAAAACAGAAACAGACTCATAGATAGAGAACAGACTGATGACTGCCAGATGGGAGGGAGTTTTGGGGGGGTGGATAAAAGAGGTGGAGGGATTGGGAAGTACAGATTGGTTCTTACAGTCCAGTCAGGAGGATGGAAAGGGCAGCACAGGGAATATAGTCAGGAATGTGGTAATAACTACGTAGGGTGCCAGATGGGTACTGGAAATGTCAGAGGGACCACTTTATAAAGCATATGACTGTCACCTGGCCGGTGTGGCTCAGTGGTTGAGTGCTGACCCATGCACCAAGAGGTCACTGGTTCAATTCCTGGTCAGGGCACATGCCCAGGTTGTGGGCCTGATCCCCAGTGGGGGGCATGCAGGAGGCGGCCAATCCATGTTCTCTCTCATCAATGTTTCTCTCTCCCTTCCTCTCTAAAATTAATAATACAAAAAAAAAAGCACATGACTGTCTAACCACCATGCTGTAATTAATACAAAATAATGTTGAATGCAAACTATAACTGAAAATAAATTTTTTATGCTTTTTTTATTAATTAATTTTTGTTACAGATGTTTCTCCTTTCCCTCCCACTGATTCCCCCTCCCCCTCCCTCCCTGCCCTGTCCCCAGCTGTGTTGTCCATGTCCATTGTTCATGCATATAAGTTCTGTGGTTTATCTCTCCCCCACCACCCCCTCTTCTGGGGATTGTCAGTCTGTACCCCACTTCCACGTCTCTGGGACTACCCCATTCCTCAGACTGTTATGTTCATTATATTCCACAAATAAGTGAGATCATATGATACTTGTCTTTCTGTTTGGCTTATTTCACTTAGGATGATACTTTCCAGGTTCCTCCACGTCGTCTCAAAGGATAAGAGATCTTTCTTTCTTTCAGCTGCATAGTACTCCATTGTGTTTATGTACCACAGCTTTTTTATCCATTCGTCTACTGATGGACACTTGGGCTGTTTCCAGATCTTAGCTATTGTAAATAGTGCTGCTACAAACATGGGGAAATTTTTTTTTTACTATATAAAATAAAATTCAAAAAAGAAAAGAAAAGACACACACAAATTGGGGTCTATTCTGGCAACAGTCAGATTTGTAAGACAAACCCAGAGGTAGGAAGCATCAACTATCAATGTTGTGCCCCTGACAGGTAGGAAGGAGGGGTAGGGCAGTGGTTAGGGAGGGACAGGCTTCCAGGCAGGTGCTGACTGGACATCTGAGTGCTGGACAAACGAGAGGACACCCTATAAGGAGGATAGAGCTCGGCTCACAGGGCACCAAGCCCTCTGAGGCTCCTGCCCAGCCCCTCAATTCCCACCCAGCATTCGGGGCCCATTCAAATGCTGCCTCCATCACAAAACCCTTCCCAGTCTCCCAGATATGTTTTGCTTCCCACTTTTGAACCCCTGGAGCAAGAACACTTCTTATGCCCTAGCTCAGGTTTTCCATGTGGCGTCTTTGTCTGTTCACCATCACCAAATGTGAGGCTCCCAGTGGCCTGTGTCACTTCTCTGTGCTTCTCTGGCCTGGCACACCGCCCCAAGACAGGACTCCTCAGTGGGGTGCCGCCTCCTCAGGTTCTCTCAGACACAAGTCTGACATCTTCCTCAGCTCTAAATACCATTATCTCAACTTGATCTCAGAGACAGATCCCAGCAGGGTTAAAACAAGTTTGGCTGGTCTTCCCATAGCACCTGATTGGATCACAGCCTCCTGGGACATGACCCCCTGCTGGGAGTCCTGGCCCAGGGCAGTCCTGTGGGAACCAGTGTGAGGGTGACAGCTGGGGGAGGGACAGGACACACAGCCCACCCTGGCCTTCCCAGCTGGACGCCCTCAGTGCTGGCTTCTCACAAGCAACTCTGAGCGTCTATAACACGTTTTACTTTGGTTGGTGGATTTTGATCACTGGGAGGCTGGTATATCCAAGTGTGGGAATGAGTCGTTTGGCTAGCTCAGGTCAGCTCATGGGTCTGGCTCTGTGCTGGGGGCTGGGGACGTGACACTGAGCGAGACAGCCGTGGCCCTGGACCTCGTGCGGGAGGCGAGGCGACAGGAAAACCATGAGGACCGCCTCACAGGAGCGTTCGGAAGAAGCAGGGCACTGTGACGAAGAATCATGGGGACACTTTAAACACAGGGCACTCAGGAAGGGCTCATGGTAACGTTCAAGCCAGGACCCGAAGGATGAGAAGGGACTGCCCCGGCAACGGGCCAGGACAAACGTCGCAGTAAAGGCCTGCGGGGGGAGGGAGCTGGGGCCGAGGAGCTGTGAGGCAGGTGCCACCACAGCCAGCCAGCAGCCGGACTGCGTGGGGCCCTGGCGCGTGTGGCGGGAGTGCCACGTTCAGCAAGGTTTCAGCAGGACACTGACAGGCCAGGCCCCCTTCGACGGCCTAACATTTGATCTCCCTGAAGCTTTGTTTTCTGTGTATCACTTGCCCTGGCTGGTGTGGCTCAGTTCGTTGCAGCCTTGTCCCCTACACCAAAAGGGGCAGCAGGTTCGATCCCTGGTTGGGGCACATCGATTGATGCTTTCTCTCCCTCCCATCCTCTTTCTGAGGTCAATATTAAAAAAAAAGAAAAAAAAAAAAGGAAGCAACCCTGATGAACTTATTTCGAAACTTATTTCTTTATGAAAATGACCCTGGTGGTGGTTCTTGGAAGGAAAGTCAAGGGAAAGCAAAGAGGCCTAAAACAGTGATGGTTCTTGGCCAGAAGTTCTGTGGGGAAACTAAAGTGTAAGAGGCATTTGTAAATTCAGGGGTGCCCAAGGGTCTTGGGGTGTAAAAGCCAAGGTTTTATTGCAGATCAGAGTTTCTCAGTCAAAGCACTACTGTCATTTGGGGCCAGTGCATTCTCTATCGTGGGAGCCTGTCCTGTGGACTGTAAGATGTCTAACAGCATCCCTGGCCACCATCTGCCAGTATCCCCACCTCACCCCCGTGTTGTGACAACTGAAAGTGTCTCCAGACATTGCCACGTGTCCCCTGGGGAAAGGCTGCCACCGGCTGAGAACCACTGCCGATAAAGACACGATGAAACGAGCAGCTCCCAATAGAAACACCAAACAAAGTTCAGTGAAAAGGACCCTTTAAGAACTTTCGCCTTGTCCGGCCGGTGTGGCTCAGTGGTTGAGTGTCAACCCACGCACCAAGAGGTTGCTGGTTCGATTCCCAGTCAGGGCACATGCCCGAGTTGTGGGCTCAATTCCCAGTGGGGGGCATGCGGGAGGCGGCCAATCTGTGATCTCGCTCATGGATGTTTCTCTCTCTCTCTAAAATCAATAAAGGAAAAAAAAAAGAACTTTCACCTGGCCTGGCCGAGGTGGCTCAGTGGACTGAGTGTTGTCTCACGGACTGAGAGGTTCCCGGTTCGATTCCTGGTCAGGACACATGCCCAGGTTGGGGCTTGATCCCCAGTAGGGGGCATGTGGGAGGCAGCTGATCAATGTTTCTCACCTCAATGTTTCCATCTCTCTCTCCCATCAATGTTTCTATCTCTAAAAAAGATAAAAAAGTAAATTAAAATTTATTTAAAAAAAAAAGAACTTTCACCTTCCTGGCAAGAGTTAAATCCTCTTTACCCTCAGTGAAGGTGACCAGTAAGGGCCAATTTGTAGGAGCAGACTATGAGGCAGCAAATCTGAGCTGAGCTACCTGTCAGGTGAAGGCAGGTGTGGAGCAGGAGGAAGAGGAAGGGGACAGTGGTGTGGGGACAGCTTCCCGAGAAGTGTGGCCGAGAGCTGAGGAACAAAGTCCTACTGCTGTCCCGGTAAAGACTTACACGTACTGTGGCCGTGGCCGGCTAACCTGAGTACCCCCTGTTCTCACCACTTCCTCTGTGGCTACACTGGAGAGGCACAACCCCCATTCCTGGGGATTGACAGCTGACCTGCTCCCCTGTGCTCTGGGGAGGTCAGTGCGGTGGTCCAGCTGCCTCGCCTCCTGCCCAGCGGCCTCACCCACAGATGTGCAGAAGGCAGGCTCACGGGTGCCAACAGCTTCCCCAGTGGCGGTTGTCAAAGGAAACAGAAGGCAGCAGAGATGCAGCAGTAACAAGGAGGGCTCGAGGCTGAGACAAGCAGTCTTTCCTTCAAAAGCAACAGCGGCGATGTTTGGCAAGACCGCTGGCAGAAGGCAGCCCCAGCAGAGGCCCTTGTGCAGGCGTGACCCACCTCTATTTTGCTCACACCATCCCTTCAGTCCTGAGCCACTCCTGGGGCCCGTAAACGGGGAAACCAACACGCCTGTTCTGAGATCACTTACGGGGGGACGTACAGCCCCGAATCATGTTCCGGGATCTAGCACTATCCTTAAGAGGGTTGTCTGTCCACTACAAACATTTTATGCAGAATCATGCAAGCTAAAACAAATATCCCCAAGCACTCAGAAGAGGGCACACAGAGGTAGGGAATGACCAGGTTATGGCACACTTGTGAACCGTGTCAGTACTCAGCATCTTGGTCTCTCCAGGTAGCCAGAGTGGGTTCTGCCCACATGGTGCTGAGCAGGGCAGCACCCACAGTAAAGCCAGTTCCATAGCCTATCTGAGCTCAGTGAATAATGAACCTCACCCCTTCTATGAGGTCCGTTATCCACTGGGCCGAGATGTTAGTCTCACAGGAGATCAAAAACTATTGTCCCAAGATGGCGGGGGTTAAGGAAACCTCAGGAGGAAGACACGTTCTCGCCTCATACCCTGACCACTAAGTCCTGGTAATGTCCCCTCGTTCTCAACACGGGCCATCTTTCTCTACCTCTCTCTTCACCAGCAGGATAAGAGAATACTTGCAGTTGTCTACGGCAAATGCCCAAAGTAGGCTGTCAAAGAACCTCAAACACACAGAAAATGGAAAATAAAAAGAAGCAGAACCCACCAAGGCTTTTCGAGTGCACGGCCCCATTTCCTGTGGGCACATGCTGACATGTGACATGATTACACACTAAACAACTGGCGACACGAAAAAAGTGGGCATGTCCAAGTTTTTTCCTTCCCCAAACTCAGTCGCAGAAATGACTCAGCTAGAAGCTTACAGATGTTCTGAGCAGCAGCAGGAACCCTGGTGACGTTTATGGACAGTGTGGACGTTTCAGGCTGATACCGAGAGGAGGCTGCGTGTTGTTTCGCAGTGCCCCAGACAAGGGGGACAACACTCAGTTCATTCCCGGGTTCAAGAAAGACTCCCCCCTGATACATTTCTGAAGTGAAGGAAGATCCTCTGGTGCTACACACAAATGGCCCACGCCCAGCAGAAGACCCGGCAGTGAAGGCTTTTTCCAGCTGTTCTCTGAGATGCTTCCTTATCCATCCTTCAGCTTGAGAGTCTGTGAAGCTAGTGAAAACAGAGCAGGGACCCCCAGGCTAAGAAGGCAAGTGCAAAGCAGGGCAGCTATTTAAGGCTAGGTAAGCTCTAGAAAGAGGACTCTTTTCTTTTGCATTTCTTCAGATAGAGTGGGAGGGAGAGTGGGAGGAAGAGAAAGAGAGAAACATCGATGTGAGAGAGATACATCGAGTGGTTGTCACCCACAGGACCCCAACTGGGGCCGGGGACAAACTGCAACCGAGGTATGTGCCCTTAGAGGGAACCGAACCTGGGACTCTCTGGTCCGGGTTCGTTCTAACCGCTGAGCCAAACTGGCCAGGACTCTCGCTACTTTCCCTGGGATACCTGGTAGCAATGTGAGACAATCATTTGATTATTCCTATCCTCCAGCTACTTATCCAGGCAAGAGGACTCCATGATGTAACTATGACCAATCTTATATTACACAAAGAAGATAAATTGAGTGTGTGTGCATAAAACACAGAGCGAAGACGGGGAGAAATCAATCATTCTAGTTGTTCTAATTACAGACTCCACCAGGCTGCAATTGGAAGTTGTCTGCATGCTTTCTCTGCCTCTTATGCCATCCAGGACTATAAAAGTTGTGCAACTTAAAACTCAGCTGGCCCTGGCTGGTTTGGCTCAGCGGTTAGAGCGTCAGCCTGCGGTCCATAGAGACCCGGGTTCTGTTCCCGCTAAGGGCATGTGCCTTGGCTGCAGTTTGTCCCCGGCCCTGGTTGGGTCGTGTGGGTGGCGGCCACTCGATGTGTCCCTTTCACATCGATGTTTCTCTCTCTTCCTCTCTCTTCTTCCCACTCTATCTGAGTAAAAAATGGAAAAATGTCCTCGGGTGAGGATAAAAAAAAACACACACACACACAAAAAACAAAACAAAAAAAAAAACTCAGCTGAAAACCCAAGTAGTTTCAAACTGCTGAGATGAGCAAAACCCACAGGCAACAGCTGTCAATCACCGTCCATTTGAAAGGCAGGCAGCACAGTGTGCAGGTGGTAGTAGCCCCGAGGTAAATACCATAAAGAGTTGGCAAGTCAATTTTGTTTTCTTGACCACTCTCTGATCAACATCTAAAATGAGAACAAACCTGAGTCTCATGTTCTGAGCCCCAACTGCAGCGACCTGGCTGCTGCTGACTCGAGGTCTCCCAGAGCCTAGGCAAGCGGCGCAAGGTGCCAGTACAGTCCACTGGGAGCAGAGCGCTTCTCTAGAAGCCGGAAGCACTGATGTGGGCAAAACAGATTGTAAAAGTAAAACTCACGTAAGGAGAATAAAGCTCCCCGGTCTCTGTGATTTCACCCGCCATTTCCAAAAGTGAGGAAGGTGCGGTCGGAGGTGCCTTCTTCCTTGCCGGGCGGCTGCTGCTGCTGCTGCGGCTGCGGCTCCCTAAGGCAAAAGAGCAGACTTCAGCTTTCTGATGGACCTAGACAGGGGTGGCAGCAGGTCTGCAGATCCCCCCTCCCCCGTCCTTATCACAGACACTCATGGTCTCAATATATGTCACAAGACAGCGGGGAGCAAAAGTCTCCCTAGATGATTCCCAACTGGCTGTTTTTACTTTTCTTCCTATGTGCAGGGCATGAATGTATTCAATGCTGCTCAGATCCCAAGCGATGTAAGAGGCCTTTGAAGCCACTAAGTCTCACCCACCACAAGCATCCCCTTCACACACTCTCCGGTGGCTATCCCCATACAATGCCAGGAACAGCGAGCTCACTACCGCACAGGGCAGCCCAAGCAACTGTCTGCCTCCGCCTAGGACAAGGGGCGGCGGGCATTCCTAGGTCGCCCTCCAACCCAACTTCTGGTCCCAAAGCCTCTCCTTTTTAATGAGGCCTCCACTTCCTGGCCCCCCTAACCTGCTTTCTGCTCTGTCGTAGGGCTCCCCACCCTCAAGCCTCCCCCTTTTCTTAAGAGCCCCCGCTCCGAGTCTCTCCCCGACCGCTTTCTGCCTACTGGAGGAGCCCGGAATCTGGCACCGCCCCAGCCCGCCCCAGCCTACCCTCGTGCCCGGCCACTCACCTGCAACGCAGCGCGCTCCGGGCCGCCACGGCCGCTGCCTCCAGCCCCTCGGCTGCAGCCGGCGCCAGCTGTCCCGCACCAGCGCCCACAGCACGCATGCGCCTGCGCCGGGAGCCGGCGCGCTCCTCGGGCGGGGTGCGGCGCGCTGATTGGGCGCCTCGTGGAGGCGGGACCGGGATTGGGCCCCGGCGGCTGCCGTCTGCGTGGCGGAAGTAGGCGGGGTGTGCGCCTACATGCATGTGGGAGGGGCGACCGTCGGCCCGGTGGGAAAGCGAGGCTAGTTGGCGGAGGTGGCTCACGCCTTCTGCTAGGGACATTTTCGTTGGAGGGAAGTGGGTGTGGACTTGGCCGTGCTGGGGTCCCGGTGGTTGGGGTGCAGGGTGAGGGTAGAGGAGGGTAGCCTATGGCTCCGCACAAGGGGAGGGAGTTAAGAACGTAAACTCGCCTACCCTGAAGTGGCCTGTGGACCTGGCTGGGGGAGTGGGGAAGAGGCAGGGCCAGAGCCAGGTCGGGTGGTTGGAAATAGGTTTAAGGGCAGGGCTGGAAACTGATCCTGGGGCGGAGTCTTAGGACCCGGCAAGTGATGGGAGCTTTGGGGCTACGTTTTGGTCCCTGGGTTCGAGGCATCGACGTTCCGAGAGGTGGGGCGAAAGGAGCAGGCAGAAATGGCAGCTCGGGCCTGGCTTTTTAAGACGCGAGGGAAGGATTTTTAAAAAACGATCTTTAACCATTCCGGCTCCCTTTCTCGCAAGGGGTTTAGAGTCCCCGTTCTCTGAAGAGTTTCGAAGTAAAGGCTCTTCTGACACCTCAGCCCCAGCAGGCATTTAGCGAGTTGAGAGCCTGGGCTCCCGCCCAAGTGGGAGGAAACTCAGGGTCCTGAAGTCTTTGCCCTCCCCACCCGCAGGCTGCTACCATGAGGTTAAATCAGAACATCTTGCTGCTGGGGAAGAAGGTTGTGCTGGTACCCTACACCGCAGAGCATGTGCCCAGGTAACGGGTCCACCTGACATGGGGTTGCTCTCCAAAGTGCAGCGAGGAGGGTCAGCTTTCCTTAGCCCAGATTTCAGAGGCTCTTCGGAGCAGAAGCATTGGTGTGAGAAGTAATTACATACAGGAAAACGTGAACAGTGAAGCAAAGGACTATGCCTTCCCTGAAAAAAGTCACCCATCCCCATGTTTTCTTTTCACCCTCTCAGCTTCTTTTGGCTTTTTAGCAAGGAATTCTTTTATGTAAACTAAATGTGTGCAAGAAAGTGTTTTCTCGCCTGATTGTAAATTAGTGACCCTCCTTTGGTGCCTGCGAATGTTCTCAGTTCTTGGAGACTTAATGTTAGCGTGTCATAAAACTGAGCTGATGGGTTGGGCTGATGTCTCCTGTTTTGAAAGGCCAGAACTGAATTGCAGGGTGGGACTCCTGTGGGGTTAGTTGGCGAAGTCTGCTGACTGGAATAGTGGTGGTGTAGGGGTGTATTCTCTACTTGTAGTTTCCCCTTTGGGGGGTTCCTTGTGTCCAGACTTTGTGGAGATCTTATCAGCCTTTGCTGAAGTCAGCTTGCCATATTCTTCCTCTCAGGAATTCAAGGAATGTTTGGCCTCAGACCGCTCCCCCACACTGACCCCAGAGACAGGATGGGAAACTGGATGGATAGAACTGACCCCTCTTGCGGTTCTCTTGTAGGACCAGCCAGCCTCTAGGTCTTGTGCCCGTGGAACTCTGCCATAGGAGCAATTATAACTCTTTCTTTGGGTCTTCTATGAGCCCTGAGTTAGCCCTATGGGGTTCTCCTTTCTACCATCCATTTCTTCATCTCATAGTGTCAGACCCATGCTTCTGAGTCAGTCCTGCCTGCTGAAGGCCACCCCTCTGTCCCTGCAGGTACCACGAGTGGATGAAATCGGAGGAATTGCAGCGTTTGACAGCCTCTGAGCCGCTGACCCTGGAGCAGGAGTATGCGATGCAGTGCAGCTGGCGGGAAGACGTGGACAGTGAGAAGCGGAGATCTGGGCTGCTAGTGGGAGGGCTGACTCCAGAGGCAGTCTCCAGAGTCCCTCCCATTCTCATTCCTAGCTGTAGCCCTTCTAGGGGCATAGCAACCTTGTGAAAAGCTTGGAAGGTGCCTGAAACCCTCATACTCTGATGCCCACTGAAGCTGGTCCCTGTGGCTGACACTTCTGTCTTCTTCCCCACTCACAGTGCCAGGCTTAGAAGGATTTAAAAGAAGTATTTTGGGCTGTGGTTGTAATTGAGGCCCTGCCCCTCACATTCTTTGCTGCAAGCACAGTGTGGTGACCGCTCTTCTTTGGGTCCCCCGCTGTCTGAAAATACACTTGCTGTTTGGAGAAGCCATCATTTCCTGCAAGAGGCAGATTGAGGACTTTTTAATCAGCTGAAGGAAGCTCTGGCTCCCCTTTAATCCTGCCAGACTTGGAGACAATGGTAGTTCCCTGGCTTGGGTAGGAAGACTGTCCTCACTGCACTTCTTTGGGGAGTGTAGATGACAACCCTGTCGCCTCCCTTTTTAGAGTGTACCTTCATTGTACTGGATGCAGAGAGGTGGCAGGCCCAGCCGGGCACCACCGAAGAGAGCTGCATGGCGGGAGATGTGAACCTCTTCCTCACAGATGTCGGGGACCCATCCTTGGGGGAGATTGAGGTCATGATTGCAGGTTCGTTCCCTCCCTTCTGGGTCTCAGATCTGCTGAACTTTAAGCCAGCTGAGGCTGCACAGGGACCTCAGAGAGCTCAATGGGAGGCTCTGGTATTGGTGAGCCAGCACCTGGCTGGGGCACACTGCTGCCACTTGGCAACCTGTTAGCCTGTGGTTCACTTTGTTCTTGTCGTATGCTGAGGTGTGAACTCAGCCTTTGGGCTTAGGGTCTTCAAATTTCACTCTGCCCCATTTTGGGGGTGGTCTGGGGACCCACTGGAAATAGTTGATCTTTCCTGGAGCATCTTCCCATGCTGTAGGAGGGACCCTTCAAGTTTCTGTGCCCTTCTTGGTCCTTGGCCTTCTCCTAAGAGGCTATGCAACTCCTCATAAGGCAGCACAGAGGTCAGCTTTGGGGTCAGGTTGCTGAGTGTCTCCAAGCTATGAGACCTTGGGCAAGTCATTTACCTCCTGTGTGCCTCTGTCTCCTCATCTGCAGAATGGTAAGTATTTAGACTTCATAGACTTGTGAGGATTAAATGAGATGGCATCTGTTAAGTGCCGGCCCTGGAGCCTGGCACGTAGTATCGTGACTGTTTTCTCCTAGAGCCCAGCTGCAGGAGCAAGGGCTTTGGCACTGAGGCTGTTCTCATGATGATGTCTTATGGTAAGGAGGTTGGGGCAGACAAGGTGGCAAGTGGCCAGGCCCCGGGTGAGGGTTAGCCCATGTTGGGAGTGAGCCTTCTTCAGGTCCGAAGGCATGAGGTCGGGGCGGGGGGCAGGTGGCAGGTGCCTCCACTGCATACTGGGACAGGCAGGGCGGAGGATGCTAGAGGGCCCCTCATCCTGCAACTTGTCCCTCTCTCTGATCTCTGGGAGGAGTGACCAAGCTGGGTGTGACCAAGTTTGAGGCTAAAATTGGGCAAGAAAACGAACCAAGCCTCCGGATGTTCCAGAAACTTCACTTTGAGCAGGTAAGGATGAGCCTGGCGGGAGGGTGAAGCCTGGGTCTGGGCGGTGGGGCCCACTGGTGCTAGAACTCGTGGCTGTAACTTAGCCAGCCCTGATCTCTCTGGCAGGTGGCTGTGAGCAGCGTCTTCCAGGAGGTGACACTCAGACTGACGATGGACGAGCGGGAGCGGCAGTGGCTTCTGGAGCAGACCAGCCATGTGGAAGAGAAACCCTACGGAGACGGGTCACAGGAGCCCCGCTGACAGAGCCCTGCAACAGGAAGGAATGCACCGGCCTCTGGGCAGTGCTCCCGACCCCTCTACAGACTACAAATCACCATTTGGGGCCTTTCAGACTCTGGGCAGGACGTGCCTTGGCTCCCTCAGGCTGGCAGTGTGGCTCAGTGACTCCAGGGCACCCTCCTCCTGGCCAAACCTGGACTCAGACTCTCAGAACCTGGAGTGGACAGCCCAAGTCCATGGGCGGAGGCACAGCGGGAGGCGAAGGGGGCCTGGAAGGCCAGAGGTGCCACTCTGAGGCTGAGGCCCTGGCAGGAGGAAAGCACTGCGTGGCCAGCCTTCCGCATCCTCACTGGGCCCCGTGGAGGGGAGCTGCCGGAGGCCCACCTGCAGCCCTTACCCATCCTGCCCGGGGGTGCCAGGGCAGCTCAGGCCTCTGTCCTGTGCAAGCGGGCTGCGTCACCTCGGCAGGTCTGGAGACTAATGAGGTTGGCCCTGTTAGGACAGACAGGTGGCTTGGAAAATGGGCAAGAATCCTGTTCCTTTCTCTTCTTTGGAGCGTTCTGAGTTAGTTTCGGATACAGCTCCCTGTGGCTGGAGAGCACCCCTCTGCTGAAAGCTTCCCGCCTCCTGCCCTCTGCCTCTGGGCGCAGCTGCACCTGTCAAGGCTACAAGGGGGCGCCAGAGGCACAGGTTGGCATGGCTGCCTGGCAACCTGTGCTTAACAGCTGGGCCAGATCTCCCCACCGCAAAGCAAGGGGGACACCCACTGACGTCTGTCCTCAAGCCGTCATCTGGCGTGGCTGGCAGGAAAAGCCAGTCATATTTCAAAACAGATGTGGAAGAGACTCTTGAGGGGCCCTAGGGCATTTTCAAGGCCCCAGGCAAGTTAGGGTGGCTTGCCTAAGGCCTCAGGGCTTTTGATGGCAGAGCCAGAACTACTGCTGAAGCCTCCCAGCTCCTTTGGTCCTGGCATCTGACCCCAGACCATGCACTGGAAACACTAGAATCTGAAACGTGCCTGGCCCTGGCCGGTTCGGCTCAACGGTTAGAACATTGGCCTGCGGTTTGGAGAGACCCAGGTTCGGTTCCCGCTAAGGGCATGTACCTCGGTTGCAGTTTGTCCCCGGCCCTAAGTGGGTCGTGTGAGTGGCAACCACTCGATGTGTCCCTTTCATGTTGATGTTTCTCTCTCTCTCCCTCCCACTCTATCTGAACAAAATATTGAAAAAAATAAAACATTCCTGAATCCAAGACAGAAATTTGGGTTTGCTGGGGCCCCCTTTATACCACACCCCTGGCCCCACATCAGTAGTTCCCTCTGAGCCACCTGTCTTCGGCTTAATCAAAGGTCCCTAGGGCTCCCCACCCAGTAGATGACCCAGTGGGGCAGTTCTCAGGCCTGCTCACCTATGGGGTCTCCACCAGGGGTCAAGTGTAGAGGCAAGGGCGGGGTGGGGGCAGGCCAGGCCCGCTGAGCAGGGACGGGGTGATTCCTGCTATGAGGGTTAGGGACATAAACAAGGGGCCGAGATGGCCCGATAGTGACGGGCTCTTCTCTCCACAGGCCCCTCCTGGGTTCAGTCTCCTTTGTTCTCAGTCCCAGGAACCTGACTTCTGAGGTTTCCCGGTTGGGTGGAGCAGCCTGGGGCCAGCTTCCCTTCCTTCTCAGCACCTGCCCTGGAACGGCCTGCCCGGCAGCCCCAGCTCAGGCTGGCACGCCTCCAGGATGCCCTGCAAGTGCCAGAGTGTCAAGGACCCTGGTCTGTGGAGGGACAGGGCACTTCGCCCTTGGCAAGTCCCCCGCACCCCACCTGCCACATGGCGTGTCCTGGAGCCCAGGAGGGCCGGCATTCTTTCCCCTAGGCCTGGACAACTGCCCTCCAATCAGGTCCTCAGCCAGATAAGAGAGTGTTTGGCGCCAGCTCGGGCCACTCCTGGGAATCCTGCACCCCACTGGCTGCGGGCGGACAGATGAAAGCCAAGCGTTCACGTGCCCAGCCCGGCTCCAGTGGGCTTCACACTTCCCAGCTCCTGGACTTAGAGGAAGGCTCAGCCCTCAGCATGTGGCTCTGGAGGGGGCCCAGTGTGCCAGTGCCCGCTGACCACCAGCACATGGAAGCTGGGTGGGTGCGGCCACCGGACAGTTAGAGACAGGCCCAAAGCCCTCTGGTTAAAGCACTTCTACTCCCGGGCTTAGGGTGCTAGGGGTCCCAGGGAACCCTGGGCCGTCCTGTCCCTCCAGGTGTGTCCTACCCTCTCAGCCGGAGGCCACCCTGGGAAGACAGGTTTGCCACCTCTCGAGGCCAGGACAGAGCTCTAAAGAAGACACAGAGGCTGAGGCGGTTTGGAGAAACCAGTTGAATTTTGGACGGAGTTTCCTTACAATGGTGGTGCCTGGCTCAGGGCTGGGCAGGGCGTGGCCAGCCCCTCCCCACCTGCCAGGGTTTCTGCAGTAGGAGTAGAGACAACAAAGTTTAAGGCTGAGGCTGCTGCTGTGTCCTGGATGCAATACCCTGGAAAATCATGTTAATCAGGAGACAAAAAATCCCTCTACTCTGATACCGCACTCACAAAAAATCAAATGAACAAAGATGCCCAACCCACAGTTCTGGGGATGCTGTGGCTGCTACAATCCCAGTCTTTGATCAACCCTAGTCATCACTTGGAGTCATGACCTCTCGCCTGGTCCCTGGATCCTTGCTTGGTGCAGGTCCCAGTGATGTCCCAGCTGGGGTGGCTAGGGGACACGTGGTAGGCTGAAGCACTCAGGAAAAGGAGGGGGACAGTCTGCTTTTTGATTGGGCAGGGCAGGAGAACATTCACTTTCCCTGTGGTAAGGGAGGAACACAGTTCTCTAGAAGAATCAGATTTGCCAAGAGGGGAGATGCTGGTGCTGATTTGTTTGTCATTGAGGGCAGTGGGGAGGAGGGAGAGGGGTGGGCCCAGCCCTTCCAGCTTCCTGGGTGGCTGTGGAGGCGCTCAGAGGTTGCTGAAGAGTTCGTTTTTCTTGCTCCAGTCCATCTGCGGGGCTCGTTTGTTGCTGCGCTTCTGGTGGGCCCTCTCTTTGGCCACAGCCAGGGAGATGTTGAAGTCCGGGATGGGGTCGGAGGAGGAGGAGGTAGATGAGGGTGCCGTGGAGTCCTGCTTCTTGGGGCTGTCTTGGGAGTTCAGCTGTCGAGAGGAAGGGAAGGCAGAGAGCGGAGTCAGTGCTGAGAGGCATCCTGGTCCCCAGCCTCAGTGAGGTGGCTCTCTTGGGGCAGTGCCCAAGGAAGCCAAGTCACAAGAACAGAACGTGGTTCAACATGTGATCTCTAAGGCAGGCTGGTGTGCCAGGCACGAGTGTGACCTGAAAATGGGGCAACAGTAACGCAGCGCCCCCCTGCCCCCCGCCGGCCTACCTCCTCACTGGTATCACTGGAGGTGGAGCGTGCCAGGGCTGGCCTGGGGTTCTCGGAGGCCACCTTGTCCAGGGCTTCACGGCTGTTCTCCTGGCAGAGCGAGGACAGGTGTGGGTTGGTGGGGGATGGGTTGGGGAAGTCCCGGGCAGGAAAGGGAGACTGCAGGAAACACAGGTGCCTGTCTGAGAACTTCCACTTGGGCGCTTGCCATCTACTCCAGCCCCGCGGGCTGAGCCTGCCTGGGCCTCCGGGACTTTCACCTTGCATTCCTCCAAGGATCAGAGGGTAGCCTGGTTCCAGGCTGGGAGGCACCGCCAAGGGATTAGCTGAATCGCCCATTCCCAGTCCTCCCAACGAGGCCTTCTGGACGGACTTGCCTTTTGAGCCAGTGACCGAGAAGAGGTTTCTGGGGTTGTGGGGACACTGGGGGCCTTGACTTGGCATGGGACACCCCTATGATGCTCCCTGAATCTCCTGTGGCCCACCTGACTACTTGGACTTGGCCCAGGAATCTGGAAACTGTAACCCCAAAGTAGTCAAAAGGGCTTTGGAGGAGTAAAGTGGATAGAGGGACAGAGGTTCAGGTGGTGGTCCAGGGCTGCCCCGCTGCTGTGTCGCCTGGGAGGAGGCCCTGGGGCAGGGAAGACTTGGAGCAGACCCTGCGGGGAGCTTTGCGCCATGGTCGGTCTGTCCCGGAGCGGAGGCCTTGGCCCGGGCTGCAGCTTGGCGCTCGGCCCCTGCCTGGGTTCCTGTGGCCCGGGCTGGCACCAGGCCCTGCCATCTCTTCTCCAGCCTCCACTGCCTTCCCTTCCCTTCTGCTTGGCAGGGAGGAGGGGCGGAGGGGCTTTGTTCTTCCAACCCAGACTGGAAGTAGCTGGGCAGCATGTGGCCAAACACTGAAGCTCTGTTCTTGGGGGGAAGAATGGCCTCTTCTGTGTGGCGGGGATTGGAGGCGGGGCTTGTCACCCAGGATGGCAGGCTGCAGAGGGGCGTGCCAGGCCTCTCCCTCCGCAGAGCCGTGTTCCCAGGAAGGGGCCGAGGGCGCACCGGCAGGTATTAGCGCAGAGCTAAGGAGGGAGTAGCTTGGGAACAAGTTTCAACCTGAGCCAGATGGTTGTCCTCCCAACCACACCGCCTTCCCCCCTCTCCCGCTGCCCCCAGACTGGGAGCCAGAGGAGCAGTTAGGGGGCCTTTACCTTCTGGATCTCCCCATTGGTAAAGGGCTCAGGCAAGGGACCTAGTGAAGGAAAGAGCAGAGGTGAGTCCGCAGCTCTGGGACCGCGGGCGGGTGGAGCATGGAGAGGAGGGGGGGGTGCAGGGCTGGGCAGATGAGCTCCTGTTCCCTGAAGCCCACTGAATGCGGCTGACATCCTGACGACCCGGCACTCAGACTGTGCGTGGGTGTAACAAGTTTCACAAAACAACCTGCCCTTGCCACCCACCCCCAAACCTTACCCTCGCTACATCACAGTGCTCTCTGATATTTTCCATTCACGTTCATTAAAAAGAACGTTGGTCTCTGCCCACTAAACTAACCTCACGATCCACTAATGGGTAATAGCTGTTTGAGAAAAGCACTAGACCCAGATGGGCTGAGATTCCCGGCTGGCTGCCCAAGAACCACCGGGGAAGCTTGTCAGAGTCCCGGGCCTCGGCACCAGAGCCTGACTCCGTGGGGCTGAAGCAGCCCAGGGATCGGTATGTTCCCCGCGCTTCCTAGGGGATGGTGTCACCAGCCTTAGAACCACACCCAGGCTGTGGCTAGTGCCGCTCAGCTGAAAGGGGAGACCATCCCGGCTCCTGCTGGCCAGTGTGGAGAGGGGAGGACAGGAGGGCTCAGGGCCGTGTCCCAGTCAGTAGGAAACCTGGTGGTGGCAGGTGGGGTCAGAGGGAGAGAACAGTGGCCTGGGGTGACCCTCACTGGGCTCAGGCCAGAGGCCCCACGTGACTACAAGGTGGGCTGTCCCATCTCTGAGGAGTGGTCCGCCTGGGTGGATTTCTTCTGCACTCCTAGCTCAGCATCAATGCACATCTGGACCAGAGGCCGGGCAGTCAGGCGTACCCGTCTCTCACACCTGTGGCCTTCCCACCGTAGCCAGGCAGGGGACGCTAGGACACAGGGCCCCTCGCGCTCCCACTGCCCCCTAGCCAGCCAAATGGGTCGAAGACACCATCCTGGAGGAACAGGAGGGGCCCTGGGGAGGAGACCTGTCCCAAGGCCCCTCCCTGTGCAGGTCCTCTGGGCCTTCCCACCCGGAGACGGGGAGAACGGCGAGGGCCGCGGACCTGACAGTGAGGGGAGAAGGCTGCCGGAGGGGGCCAGGGGAGGGGTTTGAGGAGCTGGGTGGAATCCAGACCCTGCTGTGTCTTCTCTGGGCCTCAGTTTCCCTCACCGAGGAAGGGGATTATCTGAGTTATCTGGGTTCCATGAACTCTGGAGATAAGGGTGAGGTGGCATCCCAGCTCCGAGTCTGCGAGGAGCTTCCCACTAACCTCCAGCAACCCAGCACCCTAGATTGAGCTAAACAGGGATGGGGCCTCCCTACTGGGCCCCTCCACCGAGGGATCCAAGCCTATGTCAGGACCCTCGTGTGGACACCCCCCCCCACACACACAAATATAACCCTGACACCTTCCAGGAGGGTCTGCCCACTGCAAAGACTAAAGAGGTTCCATCCCCACCTCCGATCCTCCCCACCCCTGACCCCCAGCCATCCTAGGGAGCAGAGAGCTGCTTAGTTCCTCCCTGCCCTGGTGTAGCAGCCTTACCCCCACCCCCCGCCTACCGTTTAGCTTGGGCTCGGGCAAGGGAAGGTGCCAGGCTCTTGGCAGGGTGACGGTGGGGGATGGTGAGGACAGAGGCCCAAGGACCAAGTGGGGACCCACTGCTCTCTAGAGTCAGCAAGCCTGGGTTTCCACGACAACCCGAGAGAAGAAGGGGCAGGCACTGGGCCCCTGTCACTGGATTCTGATCTGACCAGCAAAGGCTGGAGGCCTCCCCAGAGTTAACCCTTTCCTTGCATCAGCACTGCCCTGAGGCTGTGCTGGGGGGAGGGGCTGGGCCTCCCTGGTGCCGCAGCTTTGGCCCAGGAATTAGCGGCTCCGTCCCATCTCACCATGCCTTGTGCCAGCTTACCCGTCATAGGCCATCCTCAGAAACCCAAGGCCGATGCCCGTTTCCTGTCCTGACACTAGCTAGGCCCCACTCTCTCCCCACCTAACCCCTTGGCCTCCCCTGGAGGAGAGGGAGGGAGCATCAAAGCAGGAAGCTGTCACCCCTCACCTGGGACACGGTCAAGCCTGGAATTCTGACCAACATCCCTGGACTTGGGGGCCTCCCGCCAGCCCACCCAGCTCACCATTCAGATGCTCATGAGACGGGATCACTTTGCATTTCTTGAAGAACTCATCCGTCTCCTTGTCCACCACCAGCAGCTTGGTCGCGTCACCGCCAGCCTTGATGGCGGACACCACATCCCCGTGCTGCTTGCCCTCCATGCAGACCCCATTGACCTGTGGGCGGGGACATGTCACAGCATAGGTCACAGATCTGGGGGGCAGGGCAAGGAGGTACAAGTGATCCTCTTCGTCTCCGGCCAACTGGCACTCTAGGGGCACTGGGCCCCCCTTGTCTGTAGATCCTGAGCAAGGCCAACTGGTCCCCTCACTTGGCAGTCAGATGGGAGGCAGGACACGTGGGAAAAGCCAAAGAAAATATCCAGCCAGATGGGACGGGAAAGGCCTGGAGGCCTGGGTTGGACCCAGCTTCTGTGTACTTGCTGTGTCCACCTTCCCAGTCTGGACCTGGGTTTGCTCACAGGTAAATCGAGAAGTCTCGGGAGAGCTAATCTTCCAGCGCTAAGGTTCTAAGACTGAGATTCTGGGACCAGCCCAAGGCTTTTGGTTCAAGTTTCCGCCCCGCCCCACAGCCTCACTTGGGAGAAGGCTCTCCCCTCCACTCCATCCCTGCGCCTGGCATGCGGGATGCAGGTGACAGGAGACTCTAGGAGTGGCCCCGAATATCTACCTGGATCGATGGGCGAATCATGAACTGCCAAGTGTGTCTGCTTGGTGAAGAAGAGCCCAGGGCAGTGGGGGCAGGGAGGAAGCCAGTCCCTTTGCCTACCCACGTGCTGCCCACCCACCATCCCTCCCTCTGCATCTGTGCACCAGGGGCTAACTGAGGAGCAGACGGTGCGATGGCTGCCCCAGCTGTCTGCGTCTGTGGGGAGGTGGTCAGGAAGGAGGAACCTGGGAAGAAGGCGAGAAGCATTACCTCTACGATACGGTCCTGGGCCTGGAGCCCCGAGGCCTCGGCGGGCGAGTCCGGGTCCACTGACCGGATGAACTGGCCTGGCTTAGACTTGTCGCTGTGCAGGTTGAAGCCATAGCCATTGGGACCCTTCTTCATGGTGCAGAGCCGAGGCCGAAGCTCACGCTGTGGGGATGAAGCAGGGTCCGTGTCATTCCACGGTGCCCCGGGTCCCACTCTCCCTGCCCTGTGCCCACGCCAGCTCCCACAAGGACGACCAGGCGAATCTGCTGAGATCCTGCACAGCAACTGAGCGATGCTGGCCTGGGGCTCCGAGGGCCTGCGTGGAGACCCCGCGCTGCACCGAACCGCCTGGGCGACCCTGGGCAGCAAGGCCCTTCTCCAAGACTCAGTTTCCTCTTCTGTCCAGTGAGAAGTGGGGACAGACCAGCTCAAGTCCCTCCCCTTTCGGCATTCTAAGGTTAGTCGTGGTATTTTGATTGCTACCTTGTCCCTCCTACCGATGGCTCAGTCTGGTCCTCCTGGGGGTGACAGGCAGCACACCTACAGCCTGGCTGGGTACCTGAAACATGGGATGGGGAATCCCAGACTCTTCGTACAAGGATGCGAAACCGTCACAGCTGAGTGTCTGAGTGCCCAAGAGAAACCTGCCTGTGCCCTTTCTTTTCTTTAACATCTTTTTCTTTATTGATTTCAGAGACAGAGGAAGGGAGAGGGAGAGACAGAAACATCGATGAGCGAGAACATCGATTGGCCACCTCCTGCATGCCCCCCACTGGGGATCGGGCCCACAGCCTGGGCATGTGCCCTGACTGGGAATCGAACCTGCGACCTCTTGGTGCCTGGGTCGACGCTCAGCCACTGAGCCACACCGGCCGGGCCTGTGCCCTTTCAATAGGTCACGTCTAGGTCATGGCCACAGCCACACCGGGCTCCCTTTGGCCCAGCCCTGCCTTTCAGGGCCTCTTCCCCATCCAGGCTCCGGCCTGCAGCAGGGAGGCAGGGGCTGGCGTTCACTGAAAGCTGGTTGGTATGTTTACTGTAAAGCCTTCCTCACTCAGGCTCCCATCTCTTCCCAACCAAGCCAAATGGCTCAGCCAAAGGGAGCCCGGTGGCCAATGACCACAGACCACGGGGAGGCACAGCCGGGGCCCCGGACAGGACAAGAACCCCACTGGCAGAACCAAGACTGATCTAAGCAGAGGGCAAGAGCAATGACAGAACCTCAGAGATCCTGCTGGTCCCCAAGAAGCACTGGAACGACTCCACCACCCTCGGTCCACCTTAGGCTGCTGAGGTTGGCAGCTGCAGCCCTAGGACACAGGTATCATGGAGGGAAGCCCAGTGACAGTGGGCAGGAGGCCGAGGCCCGAGCACCAGGATGGACCAGGGTCCCTCTCCCACTTCTCCCAGGCCTGAGGCAGGGCCACAGCAGCTAGCCTATGACCCCTGGGTTACCCCTGGACACCAGCAATGAGCAATGGCTGGAGTCCAAGGCCCTGGCCCAGGTTCCAGCTTCCCCACTGTGACTTGGGGCAGTAATTTCCTTCTCAGAGCCTCAGGCTCCTCGCTGAGACCGTTCTTAAGTGGCACTTGTCTCCCGGGGCTGCTGTGAGGCAGAGAGGTAATTAACATACAAGGGAACCCTTGGCAACTGTACAGTCACTGTGCATGCGTGGACTTTCCTATTGTTGTGAACTAACGAACAGTCAAATAAAAGTGAGAAGTGAGATTCCGGGGCCTTGGGGTGGGGTGCCAGGTTGCTCTGAAACCCCGGTCTCCAGCTGTGAGCAAAGAAGGCGAGGAGGGTTTACGGGCCACCTGTCCCAACCTGCAGTCCCAGGAGTCCCCACCCTCCATTCTCAGGGGTGGCTGGAGACGGTGACTTTGCCTTCCTTTGAGTGCTGGGACAGATCTTTCTGTGTTTCAGGATGTGGATAGGGGGTGTGGAGAGATCAAGACAGGAAGGAGGGCTGACAGTTGGCCTGTGGGTACCCTAATCTGGGCTAGAGGCCCCAGGGCCCCCTTCTCCGAGTCCTCATCCCCTCTGTTCCTCATGGCAGGGCCCCACCACCGCTCAGCTGACGCCTGCTTATCCAGGCAGCCACAGCCCTCCGGGATCTTGTTCCGGGTGTGAGACAGGCTCTTCTCCCCTCAAGCTAATCCCTCCACAAAGCTGCCAACCCGCCCTCCCCCAGGCGAGGTGAGCAGAACAGGTCTGACCAGCTGCCACCACCTGGGCAGGCTCAGCTTTCTGCCCCAGCCCGGCTGAGCTCCACAGTTGCCCTGAGAAAGTGGGGGAAGGGGGGGCAGCTCCGATGTCTCTGCTTCTCCAGCCTCCCCTCACTCCACAGAGCCTTCCCGTAGCCACCTGGCTGGGCTGGTCACCCCGTCTTCAAGATGGGGAGCAGGCTGGAGATGTCACGCCCACGGCCTGATCACACAGCTAGCAGCGGAGCAGCCGGAGCCCCAACCCTGCTTCTGACTTGGCACCTGCGGTCCTTCCTGACCACGGGCTTCACTTAGAGACCCAAGTCCAGACTGCAAGGAGGCCCTCTTGGAGCTGAGGCCTCCGCAGGAGTCACAAACACTGCCTTCGCCCTCCCTGAGGTGCCTGCAGCCTGCTGGGAGGGGCCTGGGTGCAGATGAAACCACAGCCTTCCTTCCGGCTGCTCGAAAGGTCTCTTGCAGCCCGAGCTAAGCCTGAGCTCAGGAGAGGTGCCGATAGGGACAGCGAGCGGCGGCCGGGCTGGTGGCTGGTGGCTCGGGTGCTCTCCCAGCCTGCAAGGCTGCACTGCCTGCCCCAGGTCTCTGCCTTGGCTTCCCTTACTGATCCTGTTCACCCCAGAACCCCTTGCCTGGCAACCTGCTCTTAAAGTTGGAGGGCCAGCACCAAGCCATGAGGACGGCAGAAATAAGGGACCCAGCCAGAGGGGCTGGACGGTGGATAGGAACCCCAGGTCGTTTTCTGAAGTGTTCAGACACCTACGGAGCCCCATTTAACACCTTCCTTCCGAAGTCCCCAGAGGCTCCCTTCCTGCTCTCGGGAAGGGGTAGGGGCTCCCCATCCTCCCAGGGGGACCAGCCTGGTTTCTCCCCCCTCCCCCAGCTGTCTCCAGGAGGTGTCACTGCTGAGTCAGCCTGTCCTGTCCTGGGTGGAGGCGGTGCCCCCGGGGTCTGTGGGCTTGGTGGAGGCTGGTGCCCCCCGGGGGTCTGTGGGCTGGGTGGAGGCGGTGCCCCGGGGTCTGTGGGCTGGCAGCACTGAGCAGAGAAGACGGGGAAGGGTCAGGTACCCAGGCCCGGCCACCGCTGCTCCTGGCCCACAGCGCTGGCACGGGGAAAGAGGGTAAATGGCAAGTTCAGGCCATCCTGGGCCTGCTCTGTGGCCCAAGGACTTCAGGAGGAGCCTGGTGCTGGTGTTTGAGGGGTCCAGAGCTGGGGGGGGCACTACAGAGGAACATGGCCCCAGGGTGTTCAGAGCCTCAGGTAGGACTCCCAGTCAGAAGGAAAATCAGGATCTGTTCAGTGAGGACACTGGCCGAGATCTGGGAGCAGAGGAGGGAACATAAGGCAATGTGGCCAACAGGCAGTGCAAAGGGCTTGGGTGGCCGGGGGCTGGATGAGTTCGAATCCCTCACTTCCAGAAAACACCAGACCCACTTTTTGGAAAAGACCCCACGGGAAGAGCTGCCTGCAGACTCGCGGGCCGTCCCTGCTCCCGGGCTCCGGGCTCTCAGCCCCATCCCAGGCCTGTGGCTGCCCTCCTCGTTCCCTCCTCCCCCAGGGGCCCAGCCCTACCCCGAGTGGCCGCCCAGTCACCTCCACCCACGCAGCCCAGGGAGCGGACCGCGGCACGGAATTCAATAGGCACCAGCAGCAGCCACCTGGAAAGCCGGGGAAAGTCGATACCCTAATCCCAGTGACTGTCTCTGGGGATCAGGCCCAGGGCCGCTCCCTGCTTCTGCTCAGGGAGGATGACTGGGGGGCCAACGCCCCACTGGGCCTGGCCCCTCCCTGGCCGGTGCCATGGTGAAGAGCCCCGCACAAAACAGCCAGGCTGCTTCCCGCAAGGGGCGGGCTGGAGGAGCAGGGAGTTACCAGGTAGCTAGGGGAACAACAGAGGTGACCCTCACCTCTCAAGATTGCCCATCCCCCAGCACAGCCCCAGCCCAGGGTTCTTGTTTTCACATCTAAGAATGGCGCCCTGCCGCCTCACGCAGAGAAATCAGCCCCAACCACAGGGTGGTGCGGAGGAGGTGGGCCGGGGAGAAGGGGCCTGGCTGTGGGGCGGGGGCGGAGGGTATCTGGGGCTGGGGAGCCATGGCTGCTCTGGGGGCAGCTCAGGCCATTCCACACTCTGGAGACACAAGCTTGGGTCTGGTGCCAGCTCTTCAAGGAAGCCAGGATGGAGCCAGAGGTGGCCCTGCCTGGGGTGACGTGTGACTGGGGAACATGAGGGCATTGTCCTTAGGGCAGGCTGGGAAGTGACCCAGAGCTCAGACCACTGGCCAGCACCCACAGCTCTAGGCTGGAGGATCCTCTCCTCACCCGAGGGGAGGTACGGAGGGCTTGGCTGCTACTGACCCACCCCCTCGGGCACGGATGAGCTGCGGTTCACCCTACAGGGCCCCCCGGGTCTGCGCAGCCTGCAGAACGTCAGACTCCTCCATTGCAGAAAGGGAGCTGCTCTAGCCCTTGATCCTGAATTTCCTGTTTCTCAACGGAAAGGCATTTTTCCGGAGCCCAGAAGGGTGGGAGCCAAGGAGGGAGACATAAGCTAAAGCGAGGGCTAGTTTTCCAAGTAGGGGCCCTGAGCCAGATGCCCCCTCTGGCTCTTTTCTCCCAGTGCCGTCCAGAGACCCGCTCGAGGGAGAGTTTGGCTCAGGTATCCTGAGGGCTGGGCAAGGCTGGGACGGAGCAGGCTGGTACATGGGCTGCTGCCTGGCTGGACACCTTCCAGGCTGGCCACCACATGCCAGCCTGCCCAGCAGGCACCCCACCATCAGCCCTCCTGGTATCTCACCCTCCTCCCAGAAGTCGATGGATTTAACTCCTGCGGGCTGTCCCAAGAGGCTACTTGTAAAAAGACCTTCAGGGAGCTTGTGAAATTGGGGCTCTTTTTGAAATAACAAACAGCCACTACTGTTTACTGAGCACTTACTATG